CAAAATACACTCAACTTTAGTGAGTTGCTCAAGATTCCTTTCAGTGTCAAGGCCCCATATGTGCGTGAGGGGTGCTAGTTGCTCAAGTCTGCAGATTATTTCGGCTAGAGAGCTTTGTAGTTGACGAATGTTAGTAATACATCTATCAGTATTTTCATGTGTATGAGACGAACTACTGGACTCTTTAGTTTTTGAAATTTTAGATTTAGGCCTTGGTAGAACGTATTGTCTGGTAAACTGCGCTGACATTTCGATGCACGTGGGTATAGTGTCTTGTATGTCAACCAGTCTTACCGTTGGCATACTGCACGCAGAGATGGAGGGGCAGTAACATGGAGAATCAGGTGATGATAGTGACATTTGTGTACAATACGCATATTGTTCATTTGTTAAAGGTTCGACATGGTCAGGTACTGGGTCGTCTGTCATAGGGGTTACAGATTTGGACCTTTTATTTGGCTTAGAAGTTGGTGAAATTTCTCTTTTACTGGAGTTATTGGCCGTGATTTGAAACTGGGTAGAGAGCTCGTTAAATCAAATATAATATCAGAGTATTAGTAGTTGTTAAGTATTAACCTGGTTAATATAAGGATCAGAGACTATGAGTATATAATAAATTTTAGATCTATTTTAGACTTTGGTCCGAAATAGGAATAATATGAGCTGGTAAGTATCCGCCAAATTTTTTTATTTTTCAGGTAAAATGTACCCGATATACAAGATAGGATGATAGTCTCCGTATAATACACCCTACAAATGAACAACTTGACATATTACCTTCATTGCACTACTCCAATTATCGGCCACGTGACTTATAGCGCTAATAGGGGCAAAAATCCTTTTGAAACCTTTAGGAGAAAAATGAGAAAATTGAAATACTGCTACAAGTATTATTACGTGTATGCACTTCGGAGCATACTTAACTTGATCGACAAAAATCATTCATCTAGAAGCAAGTATCTTTTGACTATGATGAACAAAGCCCTAGGTAGTAAAAGCCCAGAGTTATCAATTGTTTGGCTTTTCAGAACCCGTGTGAAACTAAATTCTCTTCGCACAACCAAATTCTTCGTAGTTAACAGAAGCATTGTTCACGACCCTGATACTATTTGTGAACAATTCAACTGGCAGTTCTCATGGCGCTACAACACAGAAACCGAGACCTCCGTCAATACGCTTCCAATGTTGACATCCAAACACCTGTCATACCCTGACGGGATTTCTTCATCATTTGTGAAATATGGTAATAGAGAATTTCTATTGTTTTGTCTAGAATTTTTCAACCTATCTATGGAATATCGGACCTATCTATCTGCATGGAAAATATCTCTTATCACCCCTAGATCACTTAGTGATATCGCTAAATATAGGCCCGTTAATTTAACATCCGTGCTATTAAGAACCTTGGAAAAAACATCCACAAACCTCTATTATCATTTTTACTTTCGGCTAGTCTGACTAGCCCATCCCAACACGGGTTTATGACTAAACGCTAGTGCTTCACATCGTACCTGAAATTTTTTGATCAACTTATGCAAAGAGATGTTAGTCAGTGATAATTCTATACTTCGATTTAAGTAAGGCTTTCGACAGTGTCTCACACAAACGTCCTTTTCTAAAACTTTCTTCAGTTGACATACGCAATCCTCTCTTGGCTCAAATCACTTTTAGCAGAACGTAGCAAGATTGTCCGCTTTGGATCTTGCTACTCTAAGCTTGTGAATGTAACCAATGGGGTTATACAACGATGTGTGATTGGCTCATTTTTCTTCCTCCTATTCCTCAATGACGTGAGTTCCCTCTTTCGATACCGTAAACCTTTCCTTTTTGTCGATAATCTAAAAGTGGTTTATTCATTTTTTTCGCTCACCAAAGTAAGTTATATTTCAGCAGTAATCCAAGAAGAGACAAGTAATTTGTAGGAATAGATTTTCATGAAATCTGTCACAGAATGTTGACATAGCTGAATTTATTCACATTCGTCGATGCCCTAACCTAAGTCCGGCTACACACAAACATATACTAGAACCTCTCAACTGTTCGTGACTTGAGTTCGAGATATAGTAACAGTTCGAACTGTTCTTAGCACATTGCATCTCAAGTGTCCAAAGCTAGAAAGCTCATTGGATTCATAATGATAAACTTCATTAATGTCGAATCGACATTATTATTATATAAAAAATGTATCCTACTCATTCTTGAGTACTGTATTTTGGTTTACAGTGATTGCAGGCATAGTGACCTGATTAAAATTTAAGGTGTTCAAAGAAGGTTCACTAAAGCTGTATTGCAACAACAGGAATTATCACCAAAGATGCCAACAATTCAAGTTAGAACCTCTCTGAATCAGGAGTATTAAATTAAACCTTTTCTTTGTCTATCGGCTTATAAACGTTGTTTCTTATTCTTAGGCATCCATCCCTTCGTACTCCATGATATTGCACAACCTACACAAAGGTACGCCAGAATTATATCGTTATTCGCTACTCAACCATGTGGAACAGACTGCCCGTGAACATGTAGTGGCATTAGGCCATAATCACACAATCCTCAAAGCTGAACAGAAGACAACTGGAAAAACAGATATTCAAAGATGGAGAAGGTGGGAACAATGAAGTGAATCAATTCGAGTTCATCGGATGGCATGGCTCGGCCATGCAGGCATAGTCCGTGTTGAATGTTATCTTATATCTTTTATTCATATTAAATATATTGTTCCATCTCTAGCCTAAGATTGTTCTATATGATGTATTGGTAATCGTTACGACTCAGTGAGTTGGTGTAGATGATGTGACTTCCACGTAAGATCTTATAGATTAGGCAGTTACATCATGATAAATCTGCAATTTTAGGATTAGGTCTATTATTAGAGCAGTACTCATAACGAAGTAGACTATAATTTTACAAACCTCCATCTCATTGAAACTACAACCCGGTTTAGAAGTCTCCTTGATGATTTGTTACTAAAGTGGATTGTGTCACCTATTGAATATCAATGTGTTGAATAATGATTTGTACAAACAAAGTCCATCATCTATCAAAGACAAAGTAGAACCTTAGAAACGTTTCTCGTTGATTTTATTTTGCTTTCTTTCTGTTCATCTTATTATCTGAAGTCTGCTTATGTTCATAATCATGACTATTATTGTTGTTATTATTATTGTCATCATGATTGGTTCTTCGACACGTTATATATTCTTTTCATCCCCTCTTTTCTTCATAAAAATATTATATTCCTAAACATCCAAAGTCTATAAATAAAAACAAATTATCTTATGTTACACCAAAATGGACTTTCCAGATTGATTTTATCTCCACTACATATATATAACACAAAGATCAATATTTGATTATCCCTTGGAATTATTCGTGACTTTCATTGCAACATTTGAAATCAATATTGCACAAAATTTTATACTAATATCAAGTTTTACTCCGTATCCTATTACATAAATCTACATATATTTACCCGAATGCACTGAAAAATTGAAAAAATAATAGCTTATGCTAGCTGTTGACATTCGGAAACTTATTATCATCGTTGGACCTTTTCACTAAGCTTTCATTTTCCTTTCTTTCTCTTTTTTCTTCTACATAAATATTAATCTTATGTATCAAAATTTTGTAATTAAGACAATATCTCGTGTTACACTCAAAGAAGTTAGTTTCTCAGATTCATTTTATCTTCACTACATATAAATGATTCGTAAATATCAATATTTAATTACCCCTTGAAATTAATGTTGACTTTCGTAGCAACACCCTAAACTATTACTGCACAAACACTTATCCTACAATCACATCACACCGCAATAATATGTTAATTTCTCATTTTTTAAGTCTTTTCTTTTTTCGTCATATATCTTTTTCAAATGACCCAATAAATGTAGAGGATAAACATCCATTATCTTCTATTTCCAAACACAATTGAAACAGGCAATAAGATTGATCTTAAGTTGGCTTTTGTGGTTTTGTACAAAGGTGTAAAGGAGCATGTACTGAGGTTTATTGAAGCCTTAGCCATGCGAAAATTCAATCTCTTTCTGTGTATTGAAAAACATTTTTTCCCATCTTAAACCTACCTTGGTAATATTGGGTTATTATCCAGAGTGGTGAGGCCTCAAATTGTTTTCACATCATTTTTTCATTATCCTCGTCTCCCCTTGCCCTCCATTTCTAGTCTATTTGACTTTTTATTTTTATATATATGTTCTTAACAAGCACTTCTGCAATCAGGTTGTTTGAAATGTATTTCACTAATATACTACATGATTTTGATAATCTTTGTCTTCGTATTACGCCACCGAAGCTTATCAAAAGGACTGATTGCACTTGTAGTGGACCCCAGCAAATAGAGATTATTGAATATACGTCACTCTATAAATGATTGACCTTATTAAAAGATTTTGAGAAGTCGAGGTATATGACATCAACTTTACTTTTGTGATCAAGGATGGTTGTCTATCCGCCCACCGCCGTTAGCAGGTTGGTTATACAAGAATGACCTCTTCTGAAGCCGTGATTTTGGGTTGAAAAGAAGTATATGGAAAGTACGTAGTCGCTTACACCAGTTTATATATACACTGATACATTATGAAATGACAAAATCTTTAGTTACTTGAACGCACAGATGACTCTGGGTGATACATTAAGTTTACATAGTTGCATTGCGGATAAATTCACCCATCAGAGACTACATGATTTTTGAGGGTATTGTGAGATGTCCTACCTGCTCGTAGCTTGAAGATAGACTGCGTTGACCTCTTTTGAAAACTGGCACAATATGACCCAGTGGTCTGCCTTGGCTAAGCGAATGTGAGAAGATCGCGCTAAACGCTGTTGAATATGAAACATTAATTAACGAAGATGAAAGACAAAACTGATCATCAAACAAACTTTGCTGTTTCATTACCAAAGACCTGGATTTGTACAAAAGTAACAAGAGGCAAGCGAAAAAATTCAACCGGTTTATAAAACTCACCACCAAGATATTGGCCATTGAATATCCCGTTGTTTTATCGTTCTACGCGCGTTCCAGTTTCGGTTACGGTGAAGATGCAGCTAACAAGATATGTTAAGATTTGTGAGACCGAGGATGACCAACCTATCGAGGTGCCTCTGGAAGATGATGACACTCTTTTACTATCAACATTAACCGCTCAGTTCCCAGACTGCACGGGACTTAAGTACAGGTCTGGCGACTCAGGATGCTATCGTGGTGTTCGTCTTTTGGATGACCGTTTATTTCCTCCCGCTGATGGACAATGGCATGGAAACACTTTTTGTTGTGTCTTTCCAAAATGTAAGTTGCTTAGTTAATAGTTTACCATGAATCCCACTGTGAGACTAATTTTCACATACATAAATACAATAGGTCGACAATCTCCTCATTCTGGTGAAAATTTTCGGGGAGGCTGCACTTGAAATGTTTCGGGAAGTGTGGCAAAACCCCTTAAATTTCAAGTTATCCTGGTGGGAATCTTTTCCTTGAAAATTCCAGTGATAATGAGGGGATCACCTACATTCGCATTGGTTAGTGGTTTCTCCTAAATTTCCCCATACTTTGGGTAAAACTACGGGATTTTGTATGATTTTTTTGAAATACCCCGAAATCCTAGAACTTCCCCAAAGGTCGGAGATTGAGTGTAATTTAAGGATTGTATCAGTTGAGTCGAGCTATTGTGTTAGTTTACCTTCAAATCACTGTATGCGGTGATAACATAACCATTAGCTCTCTGGTTGTTGCTCACGTAAAATAGGCTATGAACTTCAACTAAATTATACGTACTACAAGTTCTATAGTTCTTGGCGAAATGTCCTATGTATGTTCAAACCTGTGTTCCAAGCTCTCGATATCTGGCAAACAATAGGACTTGGTTCGGAAAAATGACTGGACTATAAACTGGCATACCAAGCTACCGACATCTTTGTCTTATTCTTTTCTGAGGCTCCTTATCATCAAAGATGTTAATAGCGTTTTCGTACATTGTGATTTTTGATCATTACAACACTAAGTAAGGCCATCCGTCTAACAGTTGTTTTTCAAGAGCTACCGGTCGGGAGGTACCTTAGACACTCCCTTATTTTTTATTTATTTTATTTGCACACACAAATATTGGTACAAGGGGAACCAAATATATATGCGCCACACAAAACAAAGGAATTTAAAGAGAAGGGAAGAAAAAAAATCAACGAACAGCTTAGTGTAAGGTAGTGTAATAGTAGTAATAATGGGGGAAACGAAAAGGTACAATCAGGAGAAATCTTTCAGTTAAGGACGAAGCAACCACTCTTTACGAAGAAAGTAAAAGAAGGTTACAGCAGAATCGTCACTGGCTTCTATTCTGAGCCATATCTGATAACGTCTTTAGCCACTGTGTTACACCATCTCTCGGACCCCAGCCAGGGAGTCGTGAAGGACCATCACAAGCCAGCCCTTTGCAGATTTCTTTCATACTCCCTATTGTCGTCGAATTCCGTTTAGAAACCTATTTGACATCCAAGATAGTAAGTCGTGGTCCTGATGCTTTCCTGTTTAGTGTGTATCTCCGCTGACATTTGGCTGATTGTGTTGAAGTCCTTTCTTTTGGCGTCCTACGAGTGATCTGGATTTTGTGGACACTTCCAGTCGACACTGTTGTTAAGATGCTGCGAAAGAGCGGATTATCAACCGTTTACACATAGTTTCTTGTACTCTGAGACCCGGGAGTACCCATCAAAACTACACATCCTGGCTTGGTACACTTTTGGGTTTCGTATGTCATCAAACTGTCAGCTCCTAATAATTTTAAGGGACTAACTGGCACATCTCGTTAAATTCAGTGAGTCTTTAGGTACCTCAGATCCTTATCTAAAATTTATTAAAAGCAATATGTCGAAAACCTCAAAATATTCCGTTCAACTCAGCTTATCGTGATGGGCTTGCCAAACTCGACCAGTATCATTCATTTGAATATCTTGGATATTTCGTATATATAACACTAGTTTTCTGACGTAGTGTGCCAGGTACACAAAACATTGAACTGCTGTACTGCATTTCAGTTTTCTTTCAGATCTAACGGCGAGAACCTCAAATATTTATTCATCAACGTACGTCTGTTATTCCTGGAAAGATTTTAGAATAGAGATTCTTACAAATGAATCATTAAATCATTGAGGTACTACCTTAGCCTTGTAAGTGATTGTATTGGTCTCATTCTACAGTGAAGCTGCTAGAACGATATAAGACTGCTATACACCACGTTTGTTCGGCAGTTTTGTCGTCAGTTAAAGCGTGACTGTGGATACCAATTAGGCATATACTGTTATGAAAAGTCAAAGTAAAAATATCAGTAGTAATTATACTAACTGATAGTTGGCAGGGTTGGTTTTATTCATTAAAAAGTGCTGTAAATTTCAAATACTCTTAAATAATTGTTTGAAGTCTGAACTTGTAGAGGTGTTAGATAACCCCGATATACTTCTGTTATCCATCTGTTCGTAATGTTCATTAATGTCCTAAATGGTCTAAAATATTAATTTCATTGCAGAAATAGATAATGGTAACGTTTCTGTAATTCGTATCTTTTGTGCCCGTAACACTGATCTGACCTTTTTGACTAAATGTGTAAAGCGAACTTCAGGACTGGTCATTTGTTTATCAATACGTGCACATAATGACGGTACAAGAGCCCTAAGACCAACTTTGTTTCTAGAGGTGCAATAACATGTACATGATTCTCAATGCCTTTTTTCAAGGTTCCAAAAGAAAAGCAGATGAAGATTCGTTAGATTCCAAAATGAAGCAAAAACGTTTTGATAAAAAAACATGTACGGACTTGATAGTGTTAAACTTGCCTTGGCGGGCCGATGAAGAGACTTTACGTGACTACTTTAGCCAGTATGGTGACCTTGTGATGATCCAGGTGGGTTTTAAGTTTTCTTAAATTGCATTTCGAAAGTGTTGGTTAAAGCTCAAACCTACAAACAGGCTGAAAAATGTAAAACTTGTAATGTTACATTTAAAGTTACTGTAGCTCTTAACAACGTTTAAAACTAACAAAATGTTAGTAACCCTGACCAAAAATGTAAGCAGCTAGTTAAGTAATGCATCCCTAATAATACCATCCTGAGCATCTGAGTCAGTTCAGCAGAGATTACACTTATGGTGCCACATGTGATTTTAATGTAATGCTTAGTTCTAAAAGCGTATCATTTCCTCATTTGAAACTACAAATGCATCAGAACCCTTGATATTTCTGTATTGGTACGCTGCATATTGTTTATTTAACTTGTAGTTTGTTGGTCTGAGTATTATAATACTTACACCAGCACTAACCTACCAAGTTAGAAAATGTATCAATTTCGTGTGCCATTTTGTCTCATGAATTAAACTGTTTAGAAGTGATAGTACTTAAGAATCAACAACTGAATCGCATGTTCGAACCTCTCTTCATTCTTCAGCCTGAGTCAGTCAGTCACCAACTACGTAGAACTTCGTACGTACGTATATCAGTTCGAGTTGCCATACCAAGAAAAGGGACATGAATTCAGAAGATTAGAAATTGGAAGAACAAAAAGAGTGAATGCTCTCTCATTCTGGGTACTTATCAAATTGTACTATTACGTTGTGGTTATTCTTTACTGAAAGTTGTCTGTCACTGTAATATGGTTGATAGTGATTTCATTTTCCCTTATATGATAAGTTTACCATCTTTGTAGTATTTGATTCTTCTTTTTCTACTACTTATACAACCTCAGCATCAGATAACTACGTTTCATTGGTACAATCACGTTTTCGTGATTAGTTCTGTATTTGACTTATAGACAAGGTGGACGTGTAGGTAAGGAAAAATTAATGGCACATGCAACTTGACCACAAACTTGGTGACGTCATATAACCGCATAAACCAAATAAATTTCGCTTTTTTGCTGATGACCATATTTTTTCAAAGTCGAGTGAGATTTTTCTTCCAAGTTCTGTTCTCTAATCTTGGACAGTTACAATCACTGGCAATTTTGGTAGCCTGTAACATGAGGTATTGACACTGAGACTAACGACTAGCAGTAAGTTGCGATTTAAGGTCCTAGTTTCAGCTTAGTTATCCATTACAACACTGCCCACCCCCACTTGTCGTCTAGCGTTAAAAGGCAGTAAAATTCGTAGTAAAGCTGAGCATAGACGACATCTTTCATATCTCTAAGTTGCTTTAAAATTAGAAGCTACGAATTGACTGTTCTAATCAAAGAACAGCAGCTAGTCAGTTTATGTTTAAGACATGTTACTCATTGTTTGGACGATTACTTGTTATTATTTGTAGGCTTTCATGTACACCACAAACTTTAATATTTTTTACAGATCAAGCGAGACCCAGTAACTCAGCAAAGCAAAGGATATGGGTTTATCCGCTTCGCTGATTATACAGCACAAGTTATGTGTTTAGCTGAACGACATACCATTGAAAATCGACAGTGCGATGTTCGCATTCCTATATCAAAGGTAACGATTTTTCACTCCTCGAAGCTTTTTTGAATTGTGATATTTAGTGTAGAAAAGTAGGTCGGTGGCTAAGTGGTTGCCTATTACGGTTTGGAGACCTTGGTGTTCCCACTACTTTCTACACAAATTGTGACCCAAATCCAGGTACATGAACTTGTAATAAGTTACGACTTCAATAGAAAAATGTTTCTTTAAAATCGAATACCTCGGGCTTTCATGAAACAGTCATTTGTTTTAATATGCACATTTGATGCTATAAATTGTTAAAACGCCTGGGAATGAATGCTGATTCCTACATTTACCAGGCTTTTTTACTTGTACTTTTATTTGCTATGAAAAAACCCATTTATTTGGTGTCCACTGAGCGCACGGAATTCACTCATTAACTTCATGATATGTTGTGTTCGGGCATTTAATATCCTAACACAATAAAAATTGAGATTGATTTGAGGTGATTTTCGTTCAGTTGACTTTTAGTGCACTTTAATTGTATAAATTAAATCAGTGTGGTTTTTAGTTCATGTGGCATTCGTTTGGTTTAATATTCTCTTGTTTATAATCACTGAATGTATGTAATTGAGTAAATTTTAACGTCATTTAATCTCCCTTAACCTCAACAAGTAAATCTTCCTCACAAGATGTTTTTTAAAGTAACTGTGATCAGAGAAGATGTGAACTGTTTTATCCTGTTATCAAAACGTAGTAAAGACATCAATTTTTGCATCAATGTTGTCACTACAGAAACTGGTTTTTAATTAAAATAGTTATTACCGGTGATTTTTTGTATATCTGCTCTTCACTTTAGTTTACTGTTCTTAAATAGTCTTTTTTTCTTGATTAACCAAATGTGTTTCTTGATGGTCTTAACCCATCAAGCCTTATTGTCGTGTCATAATTTTTGCCTAGTGTTTGATCTGCCAGCACTTAAACCACACAATCTTGATAATTTCCTGACTACGTTTCAGTTATATCTTATTTTCTATAGATTGGTTGTATGATGTATTGGGTTGTGATGTTTTTCATTAATATGACATAATTTAATAAAAGATTAATGCTTTCTTAATGGTGATTTAGATGGAGGGTGACCGTCAAGAAGTTTCTCGAAAAGTTCACATTGGAAGATTAACAGAAGATATTGGTCCCGAAGCCCTTCGTCAGCATTTCTCCCAATATGGAAGAGTAAGTCTACATATTTCCGGAAAATCTTCCTAACTTATCGTTTCATGAACATAAAATATTATTGAGTATCCTAGTTATTTTTCTAAAACGATCAAATACCACAAACAAGCGTTTTGACGTAATTTACGAATCTTTCTAAATGATTTATTCTAGGTATCTGATGTTTTCATACCCAAACCCTTTCGATCGTTCGCCTTTATTACGTTCGATGATCCCGAGGTTGCAGCTTCTTTGTTAGGCAAGGACCAAGAAATTCAAGGTATTCGTATTAGCGTTGGTTCTGCAGTCCCAAAGCTTCCTCCTTCTGCCCGTCAAAGTAACACTAATAATCAACGAATTCCAGTTACCTCGATGCAAGCTGCTCTTCAGTCAACAATGATGGGAACTCAACAATGGGGTGGTAAGCATTTACTGTTTTTTAGATTTTGTAGAAAACGTAGCTTGTGTTCATGTGTTACGGAGTTTGTGGAACATTTGCTTTTTTCATGTAATGTTTCTCTGCTTAATTTTACAACGCCCCAAAAATTAGACAAGTATTTATCGAAGTGTGTCTTGTATTTCACTTAATAAGCCCAGATTAACAGTAGATTTGTGATTGAGTCACTCGAATTTCAGCTATTTTATCTTAGATCCAAACCTAGCTTCATGTGCTTTGCTTTGATCAACCGAGTAGCATAACCAGCTATCACAAATGAAGCTATTTTCGATAAAGGATTTGCAGTATTATTGTTTAGCTGTACTGTTATCAATTGGGCTATGATATGATATCCGAACTCTTAAATATGGGACGTTAGCCTTATGGTATATATGATTAAAATCAGATGCCAGTAATCACATGGAGTGGTTCAATCTTCCTGTACGTCAGTTGGTAGATTTTCTGATTTTTATGTACACTATTACTTAATGACGAAACCTTACCAATAAACTTTATCATACAAGTAATTATTAATCAATCGGTTTTCCTTTATGTATTGATCATCACTCTTAGTGTTTGTAATCAGTTACTGTTTGTTAAATGTATTTCTAAATCACTCACTTTTACTTGATAGCTTGGCCACCAGCTTATGGAGGTATGGTTCAAAATAACCGATATGGAGGGCAACATTCTTCCGGTAAAGGTGGAAGTCGAAACGGATCAATGGGGGGAATGAATCCAGCAGCTGCAGCTGCTGCTGCTGTTTTAGCAGCAGAATATACTCGTGTCCATCATGTGAGTACTTTCAGTATTAGGATTTACTACTGTGTAAAACTTTGCACTTGACTGTGTGATCTAGGTTTATAAGTTTTCTCCTTTAAAGTCGGTTTATCTCAAAGTAACACACATCTGTTGCACAATTAGTATATATGACCATACGAAATGAGTGATTCAAGTATCTTTTTGTATGCAAAGAAATGATAGTAGAATTCCATGCTTCCTTGTAATCACGGCCGACTGACTGGACATCAACAGTTTGGCAAATATTAAGATTAATTTCCAACAACAAGTATATTAAATACAACTAAAGCGTCACCGTGGTAGTTATAGTGAGTGATCTTTGCTCAATGCTAGGGCTTGATCCGGTTTCTGAAGCTCTTGTAGGATAGTGGTAATTTTTTTCTAAGCACTAACTTTGCGTATCCAAAAACTGATCTCAGTTTTCAAAATTTTCAGACCAAAGCTATGCAGCGATAGTTTGATTATGAAACACGCTATTAACCACTGCACAAATTATGTTTCTGTCCTTGTTGCGTGTCTAGTCCATATTTCCTGTTTATTCTGTCAGAAAAAATATTTAGCAGACGCAAATCTCCTATGTGGTGAATTATATCTATTGCTATTGCGTAATTATCGTGTACTTAGCTTATGGTATTTTCTTATTATCATAATTATAAGCTTCCACTTATTAACTGTCGATGTATGTTTTACTGTTCCGGAATTATCGTTGATCAGTTATATACCTAATGCCAAGTTTATATCACATGTGACTTCGTTGTACACCAATTATGATTTCTTATTTGTGGTACGTCGCGGTTGTATAATTACGCAATCCTATGAAATTTTGAGTCTGAAGAATGGAAGGTGTATCAGCTTGTGTTGTCTTCTGGTTAATTAATGAGGATAAAGGTTGATTGTGTTATTGTTTAGAGAGAAAGTCATCAGTCAGTCCATCATAAGAAAACTTGTAGTTGGTCAATGATCCTATTTAATGGCATATTATGGAGTTGAAGGTTATGACATCCTACTGTAATAACTGAACACTACATTCACTTATATTTTGTTATGTGCAGATAATAGATAATGTTGCTGTCTTTGCAGAATCTATTATTTCATCACTGTCACCAAATCAGTTCTGAGTTTGTCTGTTTCATACACTCTCTTTTAGATTGAGCATTTTTATTATTTATAATATAGTTTTTGTTGAGTACCTGGCGAATTAAACAAATTATATTTCTTTCAATCAAATATACTGTATCTTTACTTATATATATATATATATATATTAACTTTTACATACCTAATTTCCATATAGACCCGAAACTCAGGTACCCCAGCAAATGGGCAACCAGAATACAATGGAGTATCTGTGGATTCTTCAAATTCTGCTGCACTTGCTACGATGAATATCTTAAGTAATCCAAATGTAGTAGCCGCCATTGTTAGCGCTGCCACTGGAGCTGGAAATACTTCTATGCTTGGCAATTCTGGTGTAAGTTTGTTTGCAGATCATTCTAACAAATTGACAACACACCAACCTAGATATACTTTCGCCAATATTGGACTGCATAATTCTCATGCAAGTACATTTCACATTGTTAAAATTTTACTTAGGCGATAATATCTTTTTTCTATTTTAATCAGAGATGTGACTCAGTTACCAAGCACAATTTTAGATAATTAGCTTTATATCACACTTTGTGTGTACTGATGATACTAAACCCAAGTCTTAACCTGAAACCTGTTGGTCGAAGGCTGAGTGCTAAAACCGTAAGTCATTACTCAGCTACCATTTAAGGAAATCGTTTTTGGCCATAGACCTACGCTTTTGAGAACCATTCATTCATAAAACAGATTTTACTTACCATCTGTATTCGTTTGTTCATCTTACAGTAGGTGTAATGAAGTTTTCTCATTCGTTTCTGTTTTTAGCAAATGAACCCGAATATCGTGAATTCTTTACTTAAATTTAACATTATAAACATTACTGGTTGTAACAGATTATTGTATAAATAGGTCAAAATTAACTGCGCAGATTTTTGCAAAATAATTAAACTACCGGAACATTCAAGTTACTGTAGGTTTATTCCTAAGTACTCTAGTGCTCATAGACAGGGACACTTGTATTGATAGTATATGAAAAGAAAAAATATCATCAGATCAAACCTGCGTGTGCAGAGAAATCTAATTAGAATTCAGATTTTACTAATCGTTAAATTGTGCCATTAGTTTTTTCGAAAATTTGTTTTTACTTCACACCCTCCAATTATCACATTTAGACCATATCTTTTCTTAATATAAAGGCTTTGCTTTTTTGTGGTCCTATCATTTTGCGACCGTATATATTTCCAAATATTAAAATCCATATTAGATTATGTTGATTTCTCATTTTCACTTTTCTCTAATGCTAATATGATACTGTTTAAGTGTTTAGACCTAAGTAGATAAGTTCTCACCCCACTGAACAGAGATTAATAATAGAGTGCTTTAATCATTCAGTTGATGTCTTTTTGAAGAGAGTTTTCAAATTTGATCAACCTAAAATTTCGTCCTAATATTACTTCCTACAGATTGCAAAATTTATTTTTTTATTTATTTGAACACATAAATATTGGTGCAAGAGGGCACCAAGTATATATGCGCCACACAAAATTTCATTTGTGTGTGGGCTGTGATACTTCCTGGGTGCCCAGACCGAAGCAAGTGGTTTTCTTAGGAGGCTACACCCCGGAGCCTTTGACCTAAAGGTCTGACCCACAAGGCAGTAAAGCATCGTGAGGAGATGCAGCCCATGGTAGCCGGTGACCAACGATTGGTTCATACACCGTTTGTTCCGTCAGGATACTAGAGCTCATGTGCACCAATGGTGTTGCATCGGGTTAAAGCGCCGGACATTCGCTTTTCGTCCTCTTATTTTCGTAGACAACGCCCCCGCCACGAGAAGGCAGTGAGTAGGATTTCCCTGGCAGAGGCTATATACGCGTGGCCGTGTAAGAGCATTTGGGGGCACAGGTTGCAAAAACATTTATTAACCAAGTATCATCTCAGTCCTCCTTGTATTACCGCACATCAAACTGTATAACGCATTATAATGGTTTTGATTTTAATGGGCCTCATATTTTTAGTTAGCCGTTCACGCAGTTCTTAATTAGTACACTTGAAAAACTAGTACTCTTATTTAGTTTACTCCTTATTATCATTTAGAAATGTAATTAAGAGTGATTCTGAAACGTCTCGAATTTTTCAAGGGTTTGTTGGCGCATTGCTTTAGTTGTAAAATACTCGTTTGATCTCTTAGCAAGGAATAGTGTACATTGATGTAATCATATTTTATGCTAAATTTCACTAGTCAGGAAAGTAGCAGCATCGAAAAGTACACTGTAAAAAGAATAATGTCATAACTGTTTTGTAACGTTGGATTTTGTTTATCTACTAGACATTAAGTAGCTAACCATATAATACACTGACACAAATGTCTAGGAACCAGACCGAGATGGTTCAGCTTTGTGACTTCCGAAGAATTTCGGCTTTCATCATTTTTTTCTACTTCCGGGGCAGAATTTAGTTTGTTCTGGTTGGTCTTTTCCTTTTAGAAAGTTGGTTTTCTACAGGATAGGGATGCTGACCTCACATATATATTTGGTGCCCCCTTGTACCAATATTTATGTGTTCAAATAAATACTCCCCCTCCACAATTCACCGTCCTGCTCTACCCAGACTTGGGACCGGCAGTAGCCTGAGAACAGCTACAGGGAGAGTTGTGCAAACTTATGTTCGGACCTCATTCGATCCTTCCCAAAACCCACGTTCTCAGATCGTCATCAAATGGAGTTTCAGTGTCTAAAAATTGTAATCTCTATTTACTGCTAAATTAAATTGATCCAGCAAACATTACTGATAAATCTTCTAATTTGAACGTTTGAATGTGTTCCCTAGGCTCTTCTTCAACACGGCAACTTGAACATAAGACAAAAGTCACGAAATATAGAAAGAACGCTTTACCCCAAGTTTAGTTCATGTACAGAAAATCTAGGGTATTAATGGAATGTTAGATAACTTTGAGCTGCTGGAAGGTTCTGGAACCCATCTAAACATATTGCGATTGGTAATGTTTTTAAGAAACCTTTACTGATGCTGACTGGATAATATGTTTCTTTTCATTGTCGCTCGCTGCTGATTGTCATGTCTGTTTTTTTATTAAATCGACAGTTACAAATTATATCTGAAATAAATTATAATTAATCATTGAGCAAATGCTATCACGCTCAATGATGTATCTAACTTTCACTTCATGAGTATTCCACATTTACTGTTTTTTGACAACCTGTATTTCCTGTTTGGATTTCTTTTTAGGCACTTTAACACGATGAATGGATTCAAGGTATCCAATACTCAAATCCTGCATTTCTTACTTCCTCCTTAATTTTGGCTCCATTGAGTCTGTTTTGTATCACTTGCCCGAACTAAATGGGTTATGTCAATTTGTTGGTAAAAGAATTGGTTTTTCATTATTCAATCAACTGTGTATTTGTTTGGGTCAGTGTGTTGTAAATCAGTGATTCCTCTAGGGTAGATGTACTTCTATTGTACGACTGTTAGTAGTGAGTCAAAAGCTTGCGTGTTTCTTTGCATATTGGTATCAGTCGTGCGATGTTATTCGTGTACTCTGTATGAAAGTTATGGTACATAATGCTGAGATATGAGTGATCAGACTGTTTGACATGTGAATTTTGGTGCTACCACGTTTCAGAAACCGTTGCTGTGTGATGAAAGCATCAGAAATTATGTTGGTACATTTTGGTGTTTCTAAAACAGGTCAGAATTCACTCAATATGACGGTGGTAATCCTGAAAACTTCCTATGTAGGAAATAGGATTTTTGTAAATACTGTCTAAGAATAATATCTACCTTCCAACGATAATCATTGAAGGTAACAAATAATGGGTTGCCATAAATCAAAGAGTTATGAAGTAGATAATTGGTTATTGAAGAAATAAGTTATGGTTACTGATAATGACTGCTAACTTTGTCATTGAACTGACTGAATTGCCTGGTGTCTTTTTTATGGTTGATTAGTTGACGAGTGCATTGATTCAAGTCCTTACACTTTTGTTCGTTTGTTTAAATTTTGATTTGTTCTGTTTGCTGCGTATATGATTTGCAGATATATTTGTGAAGTTTTTTCTGCTGCATACTGCTTAGATAGTTAATGAATGACTGTTTGAACTCAAATCCTATAAGTCACTTTAGTTGATAATTTGACATAGAAATTCGTATGGCGCCTGATGCCTAGTGGCTGGCCGGATGTTGATTTATCCAACGTTTAGTAAACATTTTACATTTATATCAAAATCTTCCGATTCGTTCATTCTGTGAACAATTTACACATTATATTTCCTTTCCATTTCTATACCTAACAAAGTTAATACTTCACTTCTAATTTCGTGATTATATCCTATTGTGCTTCCTTGTAAGCTTAGTTAACCATAGTCAACTTTAAAATTCAAATTTTGACTTACTATAAATGCTCCTAAAATTTGTTTTCCTCTTGTTAATGGGAAGTTGTTACACATGTTTCGCTCAGTATGTTGTTCTTCTAAACTTAGTAACTCGTGACTGGACATAAATTCCTACATAATGTAGTTCACGTATCGTAGTAGGTGCAGTAATTCCTTACCCTTGTTTTTTTTTTTTTACAAATTTGCAATTATCTCGGCCTTCTTTTACCTGGTCATTCCTTACTATGATTTATAAGTCATTTAGACCATTCAATATTGTTTCACACATGTTTTCCACTGACTATTAACATATGAACCTAATACATGATAAATGCGCAAGAGACAAAGTTGTGCACCAATAAATGCAGAGTTCGAGTCAGTCACTTGAAACCAAATAAAATTAATGGCCACGTATACAGAGTTTCTAAGTTAGGCAAGTAGCATAGTGTTTTAATCGAGCTGCATTATTTGAGCAATCATTCGCTTTGTCGATTCTTTTAGAGTACGTATTCAAGAGTTCTCATTTCTCGAATATGTAAGTTGGTTTACATAACGACATGCTTGTTCATAGTTATCGACTCACTGTACTCCCATATTTTTTTTCCAGATTTTGAAGTATTAATAATCTTTTTCGGGGTGTTCATTTAAGTTGTTGAGTGGCAAGTATATCAGTTCCATCTCGAATCCCTGTCCCAACATTAAGAGCAAATTAAACCCGTCTAAATACTTTTGAATTCGGATGTGAGAATTACTTCTTGGGAATGAATATTTGGCATTTACTTCATTTTTCTGAAACAATAGCAGCAATATTTATAGCCATCAAGCTCACATTTTGAAGGGTTCTAGTTTATGTGTTTAAACAAGCTGAAGCTTAGATCGTAGTTTAGAGGTTTTCCAAGAATACCTTGGTACAAGTTGTGTAGATCCCGAATTAGTGCTCTTGTTTATCTCATCGCTATTTCTCTGAATATCATCAATCTACTTTGTAATCATTTTGTCTTAAAATTTTCGACTAGTTGATTACACAGGAATCATTTCAACCATGAACACAAGCGATTCACGCTGTAATCGATATACCCTAGAAGCTGGTGAGTGACATGTCGTTCCTGACAAGACGGTTTTCCTTCAGTCTTACAACAAAGTAAATGTCCACCACCAGTAGTAGTCATGATAAGAGTTTGTCACTGCTTGTGACGACAGTCCATGTACTCAACAAGGTTGTCGTGCGTTCCATTTTGTGGCGAGTATCCCATCTCAATTAAACTGACATTCGTATAAGTTTCGATTATAACTGTGGTCACATGTCTTTCCAAGTTCACGTTTGGCAGTTTTCAACATGGAGGACGTCGCCTCATTTTACTTTTAGTGATCTGTGGAGACGTCTTTATTAAATTTGTCCTTAGCAATGTGGTTCCGCGGTGAAGGTTGATTACAGATAAGTGGTTATTCAATCAGAAAAAAGGTTTTGTTCAAAGCATCAGTCCTACAATCTGATTCGCATTACTAATTGAAATCGGTGGTTTGGAATGTTGTTAGTTTAACACGTCAAATATCGTTATTTTCAAGCTAATCGAAACGTTTGTGTTGAACTTGCAGTTTTTTGTCCAAATATTAAGCTAAGCCAACGCTTAGTAAGTAGTTCTGATGCAGTGTGTGTTTTACGAATCCAATCTTATATAAAGACTGCTCTGTACGACTGATTACCGGTTGCACAAAAGTTTAATCAATTGTCAGGTCTCATGAATCCTTTTGTTCTATCAAATGGAATGGGAATATGAGTCACGAGTTTCCGCATCCTATTGGGTGTAGTCTATCTTCTAAACAGCTTCATGTACTGCTTATATTTTGTAATTTATCAGAAAACATATGTATTAACTTACTCCGGCATAACATGCTCAGTTGGACGAAGTACATTTGTTTCGATGGTGAACTGTGGACATTTGTAGAGCTTGCCAGTTATCATTAAAATGTGGTCGCTCAAAAATCCATGTTGAGAAAGTGGTGAATATTTGAGCATCAGGAGTTCGTTACTAACTGTTCAAGGGGCGATGAAATCAGTTATCTGGATGGAGGAACACTAAACGCCTCAAATATTATCTTGTAGGTAATTGTTGTCCATTATTTCGAAAACCAAAGATTTAACGCATATGGCTTTGACGATTCTGAACCTACACAAACTTTAAATGCATTAAAATGAGGGAAGGATAGTGGCGATACGTAAATTTACAATATAATTTGTGCTGACCTCATTAATTTTACCTAACACACTTTCTCGAGGCGCTCGATCAAGCAAGTACACTAGACTACAAGTCTGAACAGTGTTACACATTCTTTGCACCTACCAGCCACTCTAAATGCGGTGCTTCTCAACTTTCTGGAGACCTAAACGTATCTTCGGACTCATTTATCTCTGTCTTCTGATTTGACCGGGTTACCACCTTGTGTTATATTAATCCCTGAAGTTGAGACAATTGTGGAGATTCAGATTTAACACGAGGTGAATGTCAGCATATGTGGACGTGTCAATCAATGAAAATGTCATACAACCGCTATCATCTATCACTTATTGTATCCTAAAATTTGTTTTCCTCTTGTTAATGGGAAGTTGTTACACATGTTTCGCTCAGTATGTTGTTCTTCTAAACTTAGTAACTCGTGACTGGACATAAATTCCTACATAATGTAGTTCACGTATCGTAGTAGGTGCAGTAATTCCTTACCCTTGTTTTTTTTTTTTACAAATTTGCAATTATCTCGGCCTTCTTTTACCTGGTCATTCCTTACTATGATTTATAAGTCATTTAGACCATTCAATATTGTTTCACACATGTTTTCCACTGACTATTAACATATGAACCTAATACATGATAAATGCGCAAGAGACAAAGTTGTGCACCAATAAATGCAGAGTTCGAGTCAGTCACTTGAAACCAAATAAAATTAATGGCCACGTATACAGAGTTTCTAAGTTAGGCAAGTAGCATAGTGTTTTAATCGAGCTGCATTATTTGAGCAATCATTCGCTTTGTCGATTCTTTTAGAGTACGTATTCAAGAGTTCTCATTTCTCGAATATGTAAGTTGGTTTACATAACGACATGCTTGTTCATAGTTATCGACTCACTGTACTCCCATATTTTTTTTCCAGATTTTGAAGTATTAATAATCTTTTTCGGGGTGTTCATTTAAGTTGTTGAGTGGCAAGTATATCAGTTCCATCTCGAATCCCTGTCCCAACATTAAGAGCAAATTAAACCCGTCTAAATACTTTTGAATTCGGATGTGAGAATTACTTCTTGGGAATGAATATTTGGCATTTACTTCATTTTTCTGAAACAATAGCAGCAATATTTATAGCCATCAAGCTCACATTTTGAAGGGTTCTAGTTTATGTGTTTAAACAAGCTGAAGCTTAGATCGTAGTTTAGAGGTTTTCCAAGAATACCTTGGTACAAGTTGTGTAGATCCCGAATTAGTGCTCTTGTTTATCTCATCGCTATTTCTCTGAATATCATCAATCTACTTTGTAATCATTTTGTCTTAAAATTTTCGACTAGTTGATTACACAGGAATCATTTCAACCATGAACACAAGCGATTCACGCTGTAATCGATATACCCTAGAAGCTGGTGAGTGACATGTCGTTCCTGACAAGACGGTTTTCCTTCAGTCTTACAACAAAGTAAATGTCCACCACCAGTAGTAGTCATGATAAGAGTTTGTCACTGCTTGTGACGACAGTCCATGTACTCAACAAGGTTGTCGTGCGTTCCATTTTGTGGCGAGTATCCCATCTCAATTAAACTGACATTCGTATAAGTTTCGATTATAACTGTGGTCACATGTCTTTCCAAGTTCACGTTTGGCAGTTTTCAACATGGAGGACGTCGCCTCATTTTACTTTTAGTGATCTGTGGAGACGTCTTTATTAAATTTGTCCTTAGCAATGTGGTTCCGCGGTGAAGGTTGATTACAGATAAGTGGTTATTCAATCAGAAAAAAGGTTTTGTTCAAAGCATCAGTCCTACAATCTGATTCGCATTACTAATTGAAATCGGTGGTTTGGAATGTTGTTAGTTTAACACGTCAAATATCGTTATTTTCAAGCTAATCGAAACGTTTGTGTTGAACTTGCAGTTTTTTGTCCAAATATTAAGCTAAGCCAACGCTTAGTAAGTAGTTCTGATGCAGTGTGTGTTTTACGAATCCAATCTTATATAAAGACTGCTCTGTACGACTGATTACCGGTTGCACAAAAGTTTAATCAATTGTCAGGTCTCATGAATCCTTTTGTTCTATCAAATGGAATGGGAATATGAGTCACGAGTTTCCGCATCCTATTGGGTGTAGTCTATCTTCTAAACAGCTTCATGTACTGCTTATATTTTGTAATTTATCAGAAAACATATGTATTAACTTACTCCGGCATAACATGCTCAGTTGGACGAAGTACATTTGTTTCGATGGTGAACTGTGGACATTTGTAGAGCTTGCCAGTTATCATTAAAATGTGGTCGCTCAAAAATCCATGTTGAGAAAGTGGTGAATATTTGAGCATCAGGAGTTCGTTACTAACTGTTCAAGGGGCGATGAAATCAGTTATCTGGATGGAGGAACACTAAACGCCTCAAATATTATCTTGTAGGTAATTGTTGTCCATTATTTCGAAAACCAAAGATTTAACGCATATGGCTTTGACGATTCTGAACCTACACAAACTTTAAATGCATTAAAATGAGGGAAGGATAGTGGCGATACGTAAATTTACAATATAATTTGTGCTGACCTCATTAATTTTACCTAACACACTTTCTCGAGGCGCTCGATCAAGCAAGTACACTAGACTACAAGTCTGAACAGTGTTACACATTCTTTGCACCTACCAGCCACTCTAAATGCGGTGCTTCTCAACTTTCTGGAGACCTAAACGTATCTTCGGACTCATTTATCTCTGTCTTCTGATTTGACCGGGTTACCACCTTGTGTTATATTAATCCCTGAAGTTGAGACAATTGTGGAGATTCAGATTTAACACGAGGTGAATGTCAGCATATGTGGACGTGTCAATCAATGAAAATGTCATACAACCGCTATCATCTATCACTTATTGTATCCTAAAATTTGTTTTCCTCTTGTTAATGGGAAGTTGTTACACATGTTTCGCTCAGTATGTTGTTCTTCTAAACTTAGTAACTCGTGACTGGACATAAATTCCTACATAATGTAGTTCACGTATCGTAGTAGGTGCAGTAATTCCTTACCCTTGTTTTTTTTTTTTTACAAATTTGCAATTATCTCGGCCTTCTTTTACCTGGTCATTCCTTACTATGATTTATAAGTCATTTAGACCATTCAATATTGTTTCACACATGTTTTCCACTGACTATTAACATATGAACCTAATACATGATAAATGCGCAAGAGACAAAGTTGTGCACCGATAAATGCAGAGTTCGAGTCAGTCACTTGAAACCAAATAAAATTAATGGCCACGTATACAGAGTTTCTAAGTTAGGCAAGTAGCATAGTGTTTTAATCGAGCTGCATTATTTGAGCAATCATTCGCTTTGTCGATTCTTTTAGAGTACGTATTCAAGAGTTCTCATTTCTCGAATATGTAAGTTGGTTTACATAACGACATGCTTGTTCATAGTTATCGACTCACTGTACTCCCATATTTTTTTTCCAGATTTTGAAGTATTAATAATCTTTTTCGGGGTGTTCATTTAAGTTGTTGAGTGGCAAGTATATCAGTTCCATCTCGAATCCCTGTCCCAACATTAAGAGCAAATTAAACCCGTCTAAATACTTTTGAATTCGGATGTGAGAATTACTTCTTGGGAATGAATATTTGGCATTTACTTCATTTTTCTGAAACAATAGCAGCAATATTTATAGCCATCAAGCTCACATTTTGAAGGGTTCTAGTTTATGTGTTTAAACAAGCTGAAGCTTAGATCGTAGTTTAGAGGTTTTCCAAGAATACCTTGGTACAAGTTGTGTAGATCC